ATCATTTGGTTTTATGTACTGAGTTGATAATGTAAACTGGCCACCGTAAAGATTTCTTAACACGACGTTGTGAGCGCTAGCCTTTTAATTCAGAGACTATCCCTCGAGCTTAAGAAGGGTTAATTTTTCTCTAAAATTGCTTGTGTGTTTAGCAGGGCAGTTCTTTGGTTTTTTTTTTTTTTCTTTTTTTTTTTCACAAAATCAAAGTTTACTAGTGGCCAATTTAAAATTTTATATTTCAATATTATGGTCACCTCGTGCATTTGGCCGCAATCCTTGACAAAGCACCGCGCAAATTACTTTAAATCACGTGAGCAATTATACAGATTCTACTAATTACATATTTGTAATTTTCTCCATATAGGCAAACCAAAACAGAGAGAGGACACCATGGATTGTGTCTCTTGCTCATAAGGTACTGCTTGACTTATGAATTATAAGACTTTGTTACGTTTTACGATAAGTTCGCGGAAGTATAGTTGAATAACCAAGCAAATTTTTTCCAATGCTCAATTGCACTGACAAGAGGTAGTGAAGATGACAACACGAGTAGTTGAGTTTTAAGTGGTTTCTCCCTTAATTTTTTTTTTTCCTTTCTTCGCCTCCTGTGACTTCGCCGATTGTTTTCTTGGCTCCCCTGTTCAAATACACACAAAACCATCAGAAACGCAAGCTTTTAAAAAAATCAACGTGAATATCTGAAAGCGAGGCCATATAGGTTAAAATTTTCAGTGGCCATTTTGCGACTAACGGTTAATTTATTTCCGTAGCGGTTAAAAGAAACAAACTTCTTGGTTAATTTTTTTTTTTTACGATTAATGTTTAAAATTCCCACGGCTAAAATTTTTGGCCTTTTTTTGGCTAACAGTAAACCCCGCCACCGAGACCCCTCAGTGACCTTGTTCTTGGACAAGTGCTACGAGACGATGGTACTCTTCTTTTCCATCCCTTGGTGATCTGATAAGGAGCTACACATAAACCCTTTCTTGACTCAAATAGGTTTTTTTTTTTTTGATAATCAGAGCAGCAATTGTTCGTTAACTACTCGTTCAGTATGTGGCGTTCGCGGCTTGGTTACTTAGTTGCTTCAAAATGGTGGCATTCCATGATTTTCGAATATTGAGCACATTTGAAGACAGTCTGAACTTCACGGGTCTATTACGAATAAACTTTAAACTTACGAATAAACTTCACGGGTTTTTTTTTTTTTTACGAACCAACACAATATCCAGCCTGTTAGCTCAGTTAGTAGAGCGCTGCACCGGTATCGCAGAGGTCATAGGTTCAAATCCCGTACAGACCTGAATTTTTCTCAGGCCTTGTTTTCATTAATTATTCCTAAAGTGGTATTCATTACTGCGAAGATTGCTTTCATATTCAAATCTTTGAACTGTTGGTTTACACTTCAGATCAAAATCCGTATGCTTCTCCTTTTGCTTGTGCCTTTTTTCAATTTTAGCCATTGACTTAATTCCATATTATAATATATTACTTCGCAGGCGTGGTTTATGGAGAAGACAGACTTTTCTGTATTTGGTCCACTTCTACATAAGTATGGTGTGGACTTACATTTATGCGGCCACGCGCATAACTATCAGCGCCTCTACCCAAGTAAGTGGCCATTTAAGGTTCTTTTCAGGCTTCGTGAATGTCTCTATTTGAAAAACAAAACAAAACAAAAACAAAAGGAAATGGTGGTATTTTCTCTATGACATGCTATCTAAGTCTGGTTTGGCGGTTTTTGCGGTTTGCTTGTCGCAAAGTAACCGATCTGATTTGATGAAAATGTGGCAAGGGACTCGTCTTGGAAAGTTAAGACAAATAGTACACTTTTCTTATTATAATACTTGTCAACTCTTTCGAAGCCCATGACTTGTAAACTGGTCAAAAACTCAGGAATTGCAATACGTTTTGTTTAGTTTTTCATAATAAAGGAGATTTCTTGTCAATATTAAAGATTTTTGTCACTCAAGGTGTGGCAGGTTTCCCTTGATTGACTTGCGTCAGAAAAGGTTCCGCCCCAGACCCCCGATGCATTATATTTAGTTTTGCTTGAAACGATTTCGGACAATTTCTCCATTAACAATATTGTATTGCTGAAACAGCTTACAACGACAGTGTGGAGTATCCAACAGACAATCACGTTTATGTAAATCCTAAGTTCAAGACAGTCATTGTAGCGGGATCTGCTGGATCTCCCGAAAAACTCTCCAACTGGACTCATGCGCCTGAAAGAATGTCGGCAAAATACATCTACGACTATGGGTAGGTCGGTAGGGAGGCACATCTAAGATCTTCATGGATAGGCTGGGGCAGTGGATAGATATGATACAATGATGTCTGTATCAGTGATTGGAAATCTGTCGCTGAACCGCAAATGTAGAATATTTGAGATCGAACTCAAAAGAGGGTGGTACTGTATAGAGTGAAAGAGCCGAAAAGGTGCCGTGGGCTCTTCTCCGGTTTAAAACTTACTATGAAAGGTTTTCTGTGTGGCGTGAATTAGACTATAAGACAGATTCATGGTCCCTTTTGGTCGTTTAATCTATAAACATAATCTACAAGCAAATGGCAGAAATTAAAATCGTTTTTCTGCCAAGGATAAAGTTTTCGGAAATTTCTTGTTTCCAAAAGTTTTTCTTCTTTTGCACCACCTGACATTTTTAAACGTTACGTACCACCTTGGTATTTTCTAAATCGAGCCACGTTCTAGTAGAAAGAAAGAAAAACCATCTTTTGCGGATATAATTTGTGTGTGAGAGAGAGCATATTCTTTAGATCTCCCCCCCCCTCCTTCGTGGTTCCTGCTAGAAGTCAGATGGATGTATTTTGCCAGATCATTCATACGCGAAAGCAGAGAACTTTTCTTGAGAATTTACCATCGTCCGGAATATTTACTTTTTCTAATAGAACTTGTTGATTCCAGCTTACGGCGGTAAAGTGGATAATCAGACAGAGGAAAATGTCTACGTTAACCCTCAT